TTTAGTGCATAACAGTGCATAGTGTGTGTTTGCCATAAGTATTTGCCATTTCCTTCCTTGGTTTCTGTTATTTATTTTGCTTAGAATGTCCTTGAATTTGTAGGGGAGGAAAAGTATCTTTTTCCTTTACCCTTCTAAGTTCTTAGCTGGGAGCCCTTTAACAAAAGACGGATTAACAAGAGAAAAGCATACACATTTATTTAATGTAAATTTTACGTGACGTGGAGCCTTCGTAAGGAAATGAAGGCCTGAAGAAGCGGTTACACTGTGTTTTTATGGGAGGTTTAATGAAGAGTGGAGAGTCTTGGCAAAAGTGCCAGGATGAGAAAGGATCTGAGCCAAGTGTGGTGAACCGGGGGAAGCAGCAAGGCCTCCTCGTTCAGGTTCCTCTGTGTCGCTGTAGTCTTGGAGATAAGGATGCTCCTGTCTTCAGGATGTGGGGAGGCCCCTCTCAAGGAGGGTTTGTGACCTGCTTCAGGGGCTTGTCCGAGAGTCCTTCCTGCACCTGCTGTTTCTCACACTCCTTCAGCTTAAAACGTTCAGGAGGCCAAGGGGCCATATTTTGGGGTGGTGTGTTCTGAACCCTGCCACATTCTTCTATTATCTATCATTTCTTGATTGCTGCAATAATTCTGCATAACAGATCAGCTCACAGTTCACACTGGCGGGCGTGCAGGTTTCCCAGGCTGGCTCAGCCTGGAAGCTCTGCTGAGCGCTCCTGGTCTCTCTGGGCATGGCTTCCTGCTGTGAGCTTTGGGCTCAGTTGCCCACTTTTGTTGATTCTGGGCCCAAGGTCAGAGGGGAAGCAGCTACCCCGTGGCAACGGTCGGAGACGAAAGGACAAGCCCAGCCAAGCTCATTCTAAACTTTGCTTGCGTCAGATCTGCTAACACCCCTTTGGCCAAAGCAAGTCCCATGGCCCAGTCCACTGTCCAGGGGAAGGGACACTCTGCCTCTCATGGGAGGAACTACAGGGTCACCTGGCAAAGGATGGGGAGTCCGGTGGTTAAGGATTGGGGCCAGAAATTTCAGTCTTGTCTTCACGTGGCTGAATCCTGCCTGCTCGTTAAGCTTGTGGCTCGGTTTGAATCCTCTGTCCTCTGTGCCTCCGCAGGCTCTCACCCCAAAGGTTGCCCCTTCTTCCAAGCCCCCTTCTGTTTGTGCCCCTCCCAGGAGATGTGTTGCTTTCCACTTGCACCATTGTCAATACCTCCTCTACTGGGGGAGGTCCTGTAGGCAGACCTCTGGCTAATTCCTCTTTATATCCTCAGTGTGTTTGTATTTAAAAAACTAGTGAACTAATTGTTTTAAGTCAGAAGAGATTACAGATTTTTTTTATTGTGGTAAAATATACATAAAATCCACCATTTTAACCATTTTTGAGTGTATGGTTCTGTGGCATTTAGTGCATTCACACTGTGCTCTGGATTTATTTTTACTGAGCTTCTGACTTCCACATGCAGGACCTGCGTCCTTCCTTTGGAGGAAACTCCACGGTGCGGGTTTGTGAAGGAGGGCGTCCTTGCTCGTTCTCTTTGTCTGGCTCTCTTTTCTGGCTTTCTTTAGAGCAGATGTTCTCTGCAAATAGTTGCCGGTTTATTCTGCATTCAGACCCTTTGAAGCTTGCAGCCATAGCTGAGGTTTGTGTTTTGGGATTACAGCAATTGAACAGACCCCTGTAGTGTGCGCCGTGAAAAGGGAGGAGGCAAGAGCAGAGTGGGAATGGGGAAATGATACGTCGTGATGCTGAGCTCAGAGTCTTGGCAGAATGACATCAGCGTGAATTTTTAGCTCTCCTTAAGGATGAAAAATATGTTCGACATTCGCATTTATCCTAATAATTGTTGAGCATTTAAACACTTCCAGTATACGTTTATGGAAGAGCTTGTTCAGAATTCTTTCTGAGAGTTTGTACAGAGAATTCATGTTCTTTCAAGGAGAACATTGAATATAAATGATGATTTCCAACTGGAAGCAGAAAAATAACTTTGAGTATTGTTGTTTGTGGTAGAATTTTCTCCAAACTCATACCATTTTCCTTTTATTAACAGTCTTATTGCGTTCATAATTCCTTGGCAAGTTTTCTTCATACCCATAATTATAGAATCTTGTGATACTTACTGCTCATTAAGTGTCAAAGAGCCTAAAAGCTAAGGTGGTAGAAGCATTTCTTACAATTCAAAGATTTTGAGACGTGCTGCTATGGTGGAGTTGTGTGTGTGCGTATTAGATGGTTTTCTTGTTTTGGTGAGGAAGATTATCCCTGAGCTAACATCTGTGCCAGTCTTCCTCTATTTTGTATGTGGGACGCCACCACAGCATGGCTTGGTGAAGAGTGCGTAGGTCCATGCTAGGATCTGAATCCGTGAATTTAACCGCTACACCACTGGGCCAACCCCTAGACTTTCTTAATGTTTATTTAAAAGCATATAATTCTTGAAGAGGCCAAATTAGCTAATTAATTAAGCATATGAGCTAGAGGATTTGAGATCTGATTTTCTAATTCTTTGAGTATCTTATTAGACTAGACTCTTCACTCATGTCTTAGCTTCCCTATCTTGAAGGATGTTGAGAGTAAAATGCCACCAGTAATAAAAAAAAAAATGTGTTATTGTCATGTGAATAACTACATCCTATTTATCAGATGATAATCAGTTTCTGTCTTATAATATCCAACCTCGTATGTATTCTCTTAATCATAATCCCTTCAATTAGTGTTTAAATGTATTTTTAAAAAGTCTAGGGGCCGGCCCCGTGGCACAGCGGTTAAGTTCTCACGTTCTACTTCCAAGGCCCGGGGTTCGCCGGTTCGGATCCCGGGTGCGGATATGGCACCACTTGTCAAGCCATACTGTGGTAGGCATCCCACATATAAAGTAGAGGAAGATGGGCACGGATGTTAGCTCAGGGCCAGTCTTCCTCAGCAAAAAGAGGAGGATTGGTGGCAGATGTTAGCTCAGGGCTAATCTTCCTCAAAAAACAAAAATACTCTAGGTATACTTCTGATGCTTTTGTTCCTAATTGTTTAATTGATAACTAGCATTTTCCTCTTCAGCTGGGGCCAAAACAGAGCTGTGTGAGAAGTTTCTGTCTCGTTGACTGTGAAGCAAGTACACTGCATGGGCTCAGGCTTTAAATCGCCTCCCGTGGTGCCTAGGGCATAAGACATGCTCAGTAAATGCGCGACCTTGCCCACCTTTAAAATGGGGTCCTTGCTAAGTGGATTCCTGCAGCCTTCGCAGGTGCCTTGGGTCTTCAGGGGGAGTGTGAGGGCTGAGGTAGGCCTCTTGAGAAGGAGGGTGCGCCGGGCCAGGCAGACACTGAAAGTCCCTCGGCGTTTCTCAGAAGAAAAAGACTAAGCAAGAAGCTTGCAAGGGGTCTGTGCAGAGAGGACTCTCCTTAGCCGTTCTAGTCTGCTGTTACAGAGCTTCATTTAGATCAGAAACAACAGAATCAATGAGGCAGGAAGTAGGATCCTAGTCTTGACATAGTTGGTGACCTCATTGACTGAACTTCCACTACGTGCCACATGCTGTAGAGACAAGGGGGTGAAGGCAGTAGGCAGCTCTCATTTCCCTCTGGGAGGAGCTCAAAGCAAGGGTGACCACATGTCCCAGTTTGTCTGATAAATTACTCTATAATTAAACTGCTAAAGGGGAAGACAGGTATTAAGAAACTAAAGGTTGTAATTGGGGGACCTGACCTAGTCTGAGGGTGGACAGAGAAGACATTTCTAAGGAAGTGACTCTGAGGAGGGGACCTGAAGCATCAGAGAGAAGCATTGATGAGAAAGGGAGCATCCTGCTCTCCCTAGCCTCAGGGCCTTTGCACATGCTCCTTTCTCCTCTATCTGGAAGAGAGGATACTCCCACATCCTGTCTCCTTCTCCTCAATATTACTGTTACAAGTAAAGTAGAAAATGTTTTACAAACAGCAGGTAGCAGTCCATGAGTCATAAAATTAATTTAATGACTACTAATCCAATTACAAAATGTATATTAAATATCAAGAGTACATTGTAAATAACAAGTTTAAAAAACTCTTATGTGTGTGTGTTCTTAGTCACAATATAAAGTGTATTTCTTACTGTAGATCATGGTCAAAAAAACTTTTAAACGTTTTGTCTAGAACAAGTAGAAATGAAATTGCACTACTATCTTAACCTTCTTTGTGATATTATTGCATTTCTAATTATTTATTTAATGTCTGGAGAAAGTGAGAAGAATGGGAATTTGGCTCAAGCTGAAAAGGGACCAGATTATTCATGGCCTTGTAAGCCTTCTTAAGGATTTTGGGCTTTATCCTAAGATAAATGGAAGGGGACTAAAGTGTTAGATATTTTTTATTTAGCTGCCATTTTGTTTTTAACCGTGATTAAATGTGAAGGGAATTTGGGAACTAGGGTTGAATAAGGGCTTTCGGGTACATGTCCTATTTCTTTAATAAACACTTACTGATCATATACTGTGTCTCACATGTAGGTTTATAGTCTGTACTCTCATCAGAAAAATCGGTTTAATAACACCTTATGGAGTTACTGTGAAATCAGATAAGTTACATAGTGTGTTATGCACACACTCAAGCGATGTTTTCATGGCCTTTTCTTTACCTGCTCCTCCTTAGGGCCGCACCCTGGAAGAGGGTGCCTCGTTTTGATGATAATGCTAGTCATGCAATTCCCGGAATAAATAAAATAAGTTAAGAAAGAATTATAGCTGATTTAATTTCTCTGTATTTGAAAAGAAGGTAGCCACTGTTCTCATTTTTTTCCAGACATCGGGCTGCTTCCACAGGAGAATAGGATGTTGACATAATTCTGAAATGGTGAAGTTATGTCAGAATGACTTTTTAAATAAATCAACCTGGAATCCTTCCATTTTTCCTTCCTCTGCCCCGACACATAATATTATTTGTCTGGCCACATTGTTTTTTTGAGGGTAGAAAATGTCAGCGTGGAGTAACATTTCCACTTAATTCTACTGATTTCCCTTCCCGTTTAGATTCCACCACCCCATCCTCAGTCCTTTGGAGAGCAGCTTCCAGCTGGAAGTCGATGTCCTGAGTCACCTCCTGAAGGCCCAGGCGCAGGTCTCGGAGTGGAAGTTCCTGCCGTCCCTGGTGAACTTACACAGCGCTCACACCAAGCTGCAGACCTGGGGCCAGATCTTTGAAAAGCAGAGGGAGACCAAGAAACATCTGTTTGGAGGGCAGTCTCAGAAGGCCGTGCAGCCCCCACACCTTTTCCTTTGGCTGCTGAAACTCAAAAACATGCTCCTTGCCAAATTTAGCTTTTACTTCCACGAGGCCCTGAGCCGACAGACAACTGCTTCAGAAATGAAGGCCTTGACTGCCAAAGCCAACCCGGACCTATTTGGAAAGATTTCCAGCTTCATCAGGAAATACGATGCTGCCAACGTGTCCTTAATCTTTGACAACCGGGGTTCCGAGAGCTTTCAGGGTCACGGCTATCACCACCCCCATTCCTACAGGGAGGCTCCGAAGGGTGTGGACCAGTACCCAGCGGTGGTGTCTCTGCCCAGCGACAGGCCCGTCCTGCACTGGCCCAACGTCATCATGATCATGACGGACCGCACGTCCGACCTCAACAGCTTGGAGAAAGTGGTCCACTTCTACGACGACAAAGTTCAGAGCACGTACTTCCTGACGCGCCCGGAGCCGCACTTCACCATTGTCGTCATCTTTGAGTCCAGGAAATCCGAGCGAGACTCCCACTTTATTTCCTTCCTCAACGAGCTCTCGCTCGCCCTTAAGAACCCCAAAGTTTTTGCCAGTCTGAAACCTGGGTCCAAAGGCTAGCAGGTGGTTTGTGCGAAAGGTTTGCAAGACCGGGAGCTGTGTTCTTGATTGCTCCGATGGTCCGCAGAGCTCTGCCATGAGAGTTGCCATCCGTTCCTCCTTCGTTCAGAGCTAAATTCAAGACAAATCCTCCCTCCTTGTGTCGCACACTTTCTAAGCAATTCAGGCCAATCGAGTTAAGTATCCAAAGAGTAGTCCAGGAAGTGATGATGGCTCCTGTGTCTCCCCGGGACGGCAAAGTGCTTTCAGTCTTTCCTCCTATTTTCCTGCGTTTCGTGTAGACTGAGTATTTATTGGCCTCTGATTTTTCTTTCCAGATGTTTTATGCTGTTCTAAACATTGTGTTCTAACGCAATGCCAAACGCCCTCTCCCTCCCCCCCGCCCCATGAGGAATTGGGATATCACATGGCCTTTTTAGAATTAAGGACTGTATGTTTTCTATTTCATAAATTGACAGATTAACATGAAATTATTGGTTTTATGATTCTGACCTATAAATTAATATTTTTGATGCCAAACCTAGGGTCTTGGTGAGAAATTTCAGTCGGTTATTGATGCTGAAGGTGAAGCAGAGCGTTCCGTAGCGTCAGCTCTGAGCTGTTCAGAGCCCCCGCACGCTGCTTCGGTAGCCATGGGCTCTTTTGGGGCGATCTACACACCTAACTGCATTTGCTTTTTTCCTTATAAAGTTTGAGTTTTTCAGTCTGGTTTAAGGTCAGCCTCAGCCATTCTGCTGGGTTCTTCATTCTTCAGCATATTATCTGCTCGGCCTTCTATTTATCACCTTTCTGCTGAAATGTATGTTCACGGTTGGCTCCACTCCCTGGTTATTTTTAGGCCGAAAAGGCACACAGTTTTGGTTTTTCAGCCAGTTTCAGACATTCACGCGACTTAGCCTACTTTTATAAAATCAAAATGGAATCGCTGTACTTGCTAAAAATGAATCGTGCATTCTGAAGCCGTCTTCGTAGTTGAGTGACCAGCTCAGTCCTTCAGCACCTCTGCACACGGGTTCCGTCCTGTCTCCTGCACACTGTTCTTGGAAGAAGTGATGCATCTTAGCATGTGCCGCTCGAGCGCTTCCCTCAGCCGGTGTTCCCAGGGAGGAGACGGAGCCGCGAAGGCATCGTGGGCTCTGGAGACCTGCACTTACTTTTGGGTATTGACTCAGAATAAAAATCAGCCACAAAGAGTAACTGAGATGTTACTTTCCGCTGGTTCCTTCAGAGCTCGTGTGCAGTGTCACGGTCAGATCGGTCCTGTTTCTCGTGGTTGCACAGAGGCGTCGTTCCAGGGGGCAGCCGCAGCAGGCCGGCCACAGCGTCGGCCAAGACCAGAGAGCCCCTCCGAGTCCGGGCAGGAGGCCTGCCCGCCTCAGTCAGCACTACCTGGTGGAGGAACCGCTGACCTATTTTCTGCGGAGAACATGTGTTTTTCTTTTTCTTTTTTTAAAAGAAAAGTCATATGATTTGTAAAAAGGCATTTTGCTTTAAATAGAAAGTAGTGATTTACCTCTGCATTTTATTCGCTCAGGTTCTGTAAAAATCTGAACAGATGTACAGCACTGACCCGACACAAAAAGCTGAAAACAATTGGAACTAAGAAGTCAAGTCATTTTCCCTCTCTTTTGTGTTTTTCCAAGAAGCTGAAAAAATTCCTTGCTGTGCATGCATTGTTTTTTTCCTAGATAGAAGCACCGTTAGCCTTAATGATGGGGTCTCCCATGTACCGAAAAGAAAATATGCCTAGTGGGACATGGAGAAGAGTGTAAAGAAAACATATATACAATATTTAAATAATCAGTCCTTACCTACAACATATTTGAATTGTATATTTATTTTTAAACATATTTTGGTTCAAGCTACGAAACAAAGTCATTTTACTAGGAGAGTTATCCTCTAAAATCAGTAATGAAATGATCTGTAAAGTCCTGTGCTTTGCTAATTGGAACAGTAAATCCACATATTTTCCACAGACTGCTTATTTTGAAGTTTGTTTCTAAACCACAACTTGACCAATTTTCATGGGTAACTGGGAGTGTGGCCCACACTCACTGAGTTTGCCCACGAGTCCATCAAGGAGTGTTTCATTTTAAGAAGCTGTGTGGACACAGGGTGGACATTGACAAGTTTGTCCTCTCTTGGGTCCAACCTGATAACTGACTACATTATTTTAGGGAGTGTGTGAAAATAAAGCCGAATTCTTCACTGAGGCGCTGATACCTTTGATGTAATTGCTTTGTCCATTTGGACATAATTGGAGAAAATTTACTTTCAAGAAAGAAAATAGTTGGTATTTCACTGCGCTCCCAGTGGAGTCACTCAGGTGATCTTTAAAGTATGTCCACCGTCTGACCAAGCAGCAAACTTGCAGTTTCATTTCTTTAGCAAGCCAGCCTCTGAGCTTGGCTCCCCGATCTATAAAACGGGGACGAGGAAACGTGGGTTGCCTTTTCCAAAGGATATGTAAGACTGGAGTGAGATCATGCATGTAAAGAAGGCTTGGAAAACTTCCTCGGGTTTGAAAGCTGTATCCATAAAAGATGGACCGCTCTTCTCTGACACTCGACACCTCTGCTGCTCTTGTCTTTCTCTGCAGGAAGGTGGCAACTCTGTGCTTAGTCATTAAGTTTGAACAGCACTTAGAGAGCTGGTTTAGGAGAGGAGGAGATAAATGCTAACCAACGCACCCACTCTTCTTTTAGAATCTTTGTGGCTCTTTGTTCCCAAAGTTTGGGGTTGATTGATAGCATCATCTCAGTTCTTCTGTAGGCCTACTGATTTTTTTTTCGTCTGGTTGCTCTGTCAGAGAGATGTGTTAAAATCTCCACCCGTGATTGTGGATTTCTTCCTTGATTTCTGTCAGCTTCGCATTTTGCATTCTGAAGCCTTTTATTAGGCCCCTATACGTTTATAATTTTTATGTTCTTATCATGTGTTAACCGTTTTATCGTGATGACGTTTCCTGCTCTATCTCCATTCCGTGACTACTCTTCCCTTTGAGGTCCCTTTTGCCCGATATTTTTATGACCGTTCCAGCTTGCTTATGCTTGCTCTTGGCATGGTATGTCTTTTTGCATCCTCTCACTTTTCATCTATTTGTGTCTTTACTTTGGTGAATTGTCTCGAGTAAGAGCTAAAGAGAGGAGACTGATCAGAAGGAGCGGTGAGAACCCTGTGCTCTCCCGGCGTCGGGCTCTGCCTGTTGACGGGACTGTTGAGTTCATTTCTCCCGTAATGTCCTTGCAGCCAGGGTTTGGCTGATGGGGTCCTGGAGCCGTCATTTAACATGTTTTTCTGTCCTCTTTTTTTTCCCTTCGCATTTGGAGTTAAATCAAGAGATTTTATCAGATTCAGTATTGTTTTTGTAATAGTACTGTTGTGTATTTTATTAGGAGGCAGCTAATATCTGGCATTACCTAGATCGGTTATAGCACTCGAGGTTATAAAATAGTGATATTCTAATTGTGTCATTCCTTTTTTTTTCTTCTTTGTGAGGAAGAGCAGCCCTGAGCTAACATCCTTCACCAAACCTCCTCTTTTTACTGAGGAAGATTGGCCCTGAGCTAACGTCTGTGCCCATCGTCCTGTATTTAGTATGTGGGACGCCTGCCACAGTATGGCTTGCTAAGTGGTGCACAGGTCCACACCGGGGATCTGAACTGGTGAACCCCGGGGCACCGAAGTGGAACACATGAACTTAACCTCTGTGCCACCGGGCCGGCCCCCTTTCTTTTTTTATTTATTAGACAGAATAGTCTACAAAGAGAAACTTCACCTCTCACTATGGTTACCTTGAAGGACAGTTCATAGGAATGGCTGGATAAATGCTGGATTCTTATGCCAGTTTAAAAAGAAATTAGTTTCTTAGCATCTTCCAGAGGTAGAGTTTTTAAAGAAATATATGTCAGTTTTTGAGGATTTCTGCCTTCTGCTTCTTAACTCCGAATTTGACACAAAGCAGCCATCTCTTCCCCTTACCACAAGACACTTTTATGAAAAAGGTTAAGACCTCCCTTATTTCTTCCTCATGGTTAATTTTCTCTCTTAATTACTGTTGACTATTTTCCTCCCTCCCTCCCTCCCTTCCTTAGTTTCTAATAATCTTCCTCACCAATTCCACTTTAGTCACTTTTTTCCCTGCCTCAGGGAGCCAGGACATACCCCAGTGGTCTCTGACCCAGTTTGGGAAAGCAGCATCTGAAAGCATTCGTTTCAATTGTTTTTACCACCAGTTAGTTTTTTCAGGCAGTGACGAAGGAATACACAGAGGGGAAAAGTTCAGTACTGACACTAATGGAGTGACCGCGGTGAAGCCCAGCCAGCGCGTGAGCCCGCGGACACTTAGCCGGCAGCCGCCAGCAGCGCTGTGTGTGTGTGGTAGATAGTTGGCAAGAAAATCTCAGAACTAAAAGCTTTCCAAGTGTATTTTTACTATGATTTTTTATTATTAAGTAGATCATTCTTAGTCTATTTGCTATAATTCATCCGCGTAAAAACATTGCATTCACTTCTGATTTTGCTTTTCCTTTAAGTAAAAGTTTAAGAAAATAGATTTTTTTTTCCCCATCTAAGTAAGAAAGGAAAAAACATGCCATTTGACTCCCCAAGAAAGCCCTGTAGGTAGAGTTTAGCACTTCCCTCTCTCCTTTTCCACCAGGTTCCTGTTACCAGTGCGATGTTTCGTGGCCTTTGGCCTGAATCCTGGTCCGAGGCTTCTCCAGAGGAAATGAGTCAGAAGAAACGGGTTTGGTGTGGGCTTCTGCCTTTGCAGCTTCTCTTGATAGCGTGTGAATCCATAAGGCTTCATTAATGCAAGTATTTTGACTTGTCTGCATATTTTTTCAATGTGCTTTTGATGATAAAGTCTGTTTCTGGGATACTTTAAATTTAAAAACATAGGGTATGTGTAAGATACTGCTGCTAGAAAGTGGAGAGATGCAGATGGCTTCCTCTTTCTGTGGCCCCCTCCCTAGTGTCAGAACCTGGGGGTAGCTTCTGGGTGATGGTTTACCTCAGGGAGGGTTGTGAGGGGCAACTGCGCTGGGGAGCACTTGGAGGGAGGACCACTAAGACGCGCAGTGGCAACAGCAGGAAAATGTAGGAAGGCGCTTGACGTTGATGTAGGAGAGGAACACAGCTCTTAGGCCCTTGTCTAGCTTTGTCCCTAGGTGCTGAATTCTGCCTTTGCTAGTCTTGAAAACTGTAGAGTAATTCCAGAATCCAGTTAAATTTTAGAATCTGATGGCTCGTTTGGTCTAAGCTTTATAATGACTCAGCTGGTCAAACTTCTAGATTAGGTCTAGACTCATTTCATTTTCGGTCTGACGAGATATGGCGGTGCAGGACACCCCTGGACCCTAGGGCCATCCTAATCTCAGTCCCTCCGGGCTAGGCCAGCGTTAGAGAAGTCCCCAAAGCAGAAGCAGATAGATAGAATGTTGAATTCAACATGCATTCATGTAACAACCATTAAACATCAACTGTGCTAAGGCTGGTGACACAACAGTCAACCAGGACAAAGATGGGGCCTGCCTGGTTGGGGCTGGTGATGAAGAGAGCTGGCTCCAACCGCCCAGGCAGGCTGGCAGCTGAGAGGGCTGGGAGCTGAAAGGCAGTGGATACTCTTCAAGCTTGTTTTATATGCATACCTCTCTACCAGTTTTGAAAAACCATGATACCTTGATGGATTTTTACAAAACATCCGAAGGCATCATCATTACATTAAATAGTTTGAAAAGATATGTTTTATCATGTATTATAAATATTGATGTTTAAAATAAAAATGTTAATTGTTCTTTTAAATGTATCTAGTGAAACCTTGGTACAACAGAGACTGAGAGCTACCGTTTTCCATATTTACAGATATCTTAACAAACTTTGTAACAGGTGGACATACTTGCTCCCTGAACTCCACTCTACTCTCATAGAATTTTATCCAATATAAAAAATTCTTTTTGCTTAAAAGTCTTATCGCCTTATTAAATACTTCTCAGCATTTAAAATATGTATGTATACTATATATATCTTTCTGTTCCGAAAGCTCTAAGAGTTTAATGACCAAATTGCATATATGTTAGAAATTTTATGTGAAATACATCGTTCAGTGATGAATAGGTACAGCGTTTATGGTGACTTGGCTAAAGAAATTGATTGTCTAAATACTTCTTTGTTTGGTGGGCAGAGATTTTTACACCCTGCAGTAATGCCTCATGTTAAGAACTATGAAGGGTCTGTGATTTTACATGTTAGCCCACCAGTTTCGTGGATGCTGGCAGAAGACACAGGACACTTAGTACTCACAGGAGTAGCATAGCCAGAATATCACCATTTTGCACTGGGTCCCTGAGCCCCGGTGTGGATGGGCCTGGATGGATGCCTGCTCGTGCAACAGGCTGAATTTCAGGAGAGGAGTTCTGATCTTGGGAAACCCAAATGTTTTATGATGGTCCGTAAGCATGCCTTCCATTTGCTCGTGGGAGACATGATTATCCTGGACGGTAGGTCTCCAAGGGTGAGACAACAGAAATTGATTGCGTCTCATTTGGGACACTAGAAGTCTGAAATCAAGGTGTTGGCAGGGCCAACTTTCCTCTGAAAGCTGAAGGGGACTCTTGCCTTGCCTTCCTAGCTTCTGGTGGTTTGCTGGCCATCTTTGGCATTCCTTGGCTTGTAGCTGCATAACTCTGGTCTGGGCCTTTGTCAGAACATGGCCTTCTCTCGGTGTCTCTCTGTCTTCACATGGCTGTCTTCTTATAAGGACACCAGTCTTATTAGGGGCTCACCTTTCTCCAGTATGACCTCATATTAACTAAGTACATCTGCAACGACCCTATTTCCAGATAAAGTCACATCCTGAGGTACCGGGGGTTAGGACGTCAACATCTTTGGTGGCCGGGCAGAGGGGGCGGGGGGGACGGACATAATTCCGCCCCTAACAGTACACATGTCTGCTCTGTGCTCTAGATGGAGGGAGAC